AATTACACCTAATAGTCATTTATCAAAGAGATACCGTTTTGAACAACAACATTCAACAAAACCACTTTTCACTAAACCTCACATCTGGACGAATAAGTTTAAATATTAGGGCTCGGAATCGTATTCGAATAATTCGAATAGTCGAATAGTCGAATATTCGTAATTCGAATAATTTTCATAATTTATAAGCCGAAAAGTAGAATATTTGAATAGTCGACTATTCTATTAATAGTCGAATATTTGAATATTCGACTATTCTAATAACACTCAATAGTTGATACAGAAAATGAAATGAATCATAACCCTAAAAAAAAAAGTGCCTTTGATATTTTGTTTCCAAATGAAAATTCAGCAGCAGCTGATTTAAATGTAGTTGATATGTATTATTCAGACTGCCCTATACAAAAGAATATGTGTCCTTTGCAGTGGTGGAAAAACAATGAAAATAACTATCCGAAATTGTCAAAGTATGCAAAATGTTATCTCTCTATTTCTGCGACATCAGTTTCATCGGAGCGTAGCTTCTCAAAAGCTGGTAATGTAGTGAACGCGAAACGCGCTTGTCTAAAATCAGACAATGTAAAAAAAATTTGTTTCTTAAGTGCAAATTTGTAGTCATTACGTTATTATATTATTAATACATTTTTCTTTTTCTCTTTATTGTTGTATTACTTTTTAACTTAACGAGGAAAAACATATTCTTACTTGTTTATTTGTTTCTCCTGAAATTCTGAAAATTTTTTAGTATACGTTTTGTTAATCAAATAATCCGAATATTTGAAAAATTCGACGATTCGACTAGTCGATGACTATTCGACTAGTCGACGACTAGCCGACAACTACTTCACTAGTCGAATATTAATAAATATTCGAATTATTCGACTATTCCAATTATTCGAATTGAAAATTACACGACTATTCGAATACTTAAATTTGTAAAATTCCGAGCCCTATTAAATATACCTAAAAACCCTACAGTGCGGATTGTGTCATTTTTTAACCGGCGAGACGATAGCAACAAACCGCCCAGCAACAAACTTTTCCCTTTATATTTCCACCTACTTCTAGGGTCCATATCTTCGTTATATAGAAAGATAGCGAAAAACTAAACACATATCATCAACGGACGAAATGTCCGCTGATATGTTGATAATAAGAGCAAGAAAAAATAAGTAACGTCGCGCTGTCACGAATTTTTGCCGCGGCTAAACCACGCTTGGGTCAATAACTGTCTTATATGGCGAGGAGGAAACTCTAGAACTATATTCATCCTATGGGAAATTTTCTGCTCTTTTCATTGGTATATAACATATCTCAATCACACGTTTGCACAATCGTTTTTCAGCCCAGCAACAAACTTTTCCCTTGTATTTCCGTTTACTTATCGGGGCAATATTTTGGTTATCTAGAAAGATAGCGAAAAACTAAGCACACGGTTGGAAAGCTTGGTCTTTTCTATATCTTAAAAAACCATGTTTTCGTCCGGCGATATATTAATAATAAGAACAGAAAAAAATAGGAAACGACACAGGTTCGGTTCGGTTTAAGATAGAGAAAAGACCAAGCTTTCCAACCGTGTACTTAGTTTTTCGCTATCTTTCTAGATAACGAAGAATGGGTCCTAGAAGTAGGTGGAAATATAAAGGAAAAAGTTTGTTGGTGAGCGGTTTGTTGCTACCGTCTCGCCGGTGAAAATGTTAGTTTTTGCTCAATATGTTTTTTCTCAATATTCTATCAGATTTTCGTCGTTCTGTAAATACAGGTCTGATAAATAAATTTTCAAATTTACTGCGTAACGAAAATCTTGTAGCGCAAGTTCAAAAGAAAGACGAAGTTGTGAAAATTGTTCTGCCAAAGCTAGACCCCACTCAAAATGTACTGCGTGCAATGTTTATTTATGTTGTAATGAAAGAAAGAACTGTTTTTCTGAATGTCATAATGTGATTGAAAAATTCTCCCAGATG